GTTAATGCAGTGGATTTCAATTATGTTTCAAGTATGTTTCCTCCTACAAGTGAAATAACATCTTAAGGGCCTTGCTGATAAAATAAAGTTGAAATGGTCAAATAATAAATACTTCAGTAATGTTGCCATCTGCTTCCTGTTAAGTGGATGTGTACGATATGCCAGCTCTGCCCACCTGGGGACAAGTGTCTGGATCTCAAAATTAGCTATCAAAATTTTGTACTGTCACCTTACTAGAGTTCGAAGCTCACACAGCTGCAGATACTGAATTAGCCTTAAACTCTCACTTGATCTGCAGTGAACAACTGAAGAAGTAGTGTGAAGAAAGAGATCTTACTGGAGCTATTCAGTGTTTAAGGACAGGACATCATGCCCCATTCCTGTAATCTAGCGTTTTCTATAAATATTCCCCAAACACTTCAGAATTATTTTGGAATGAGATAATGAGAGAAGTTATTACAATATGCCAGTAATTGTAAAATTCTGAGTGGACCAATGGTATCCTGACAAACCCTTCCAGTCCAAAGAGAGAAAATCACAAAGGTACATGGCCAGGTTTAGTTATTTGTCAGGCCACTTTGATTTCTGGTATTTCAAAGTTCTTACTGATTTTTACTTTTAACTTCCAGAGTCTAGGGTGACCTTATGGGAATGAGTATGTATGTGTATATATATTTACTGGAAAGTTATTTAATGTTACACCCAAGTGTGGTCTGCTCTGGTATGGGTACAATAACCTCAGCCCACTTGTGGTGCGCTGGGGTCCTTAAACAGAGGCAGATCTTTCTCTAGCAATTAAGAAATAATTAAAAATTATTCTTTGACAAACACGCGTATTTCTTTATGTGTAGAAATGTTACAGTGCTGGCAGGGATGCTTGTATCTGTGATGATAAGCAATTGTCTAATAGCAAAATACCTTAGTATCAGCTGCTCAGGGGGAGCATTTACTTTCACCTGCTATATGTCACATAGCAGATTTTTCTGATTTAAAAATCTGTTTTAGTTTCTGTTTGAAATCAATACCTGATGGAGTTCACAGTGCATTACACAGCATGAAGGGCAGATAAAGAAAAATGGAGACTGTCTCAGTTCCTCAGTCAACTCTTAAATTACACACTTTAACCAGGACTTGCCTTCCTTTGTTAGATCAGGAGAAGGGCTGACAGAAGCACTGCCTTAAGTAAACATTAAATGTAGAAATGTGGAAAATACACCTGCCCGGCTTAGCCTCATCTTTTCCTTCCTGCAGCCACCTACGTTTCTCTCAGCACAGAGAATACACTGCGGCACTGAGCTGTAAGAGCCTTGCAGGTTTGCTCTCCAGCTCCTCTGAGAATATAATTCTTTTCTAAAAGAGTCACAATGACAGCAAAGTAATATTCAAACCTCACAGTTGGCATCAAAAGCACTGGGCAAGAGAAAAACATCCTCTTCCAGCTGCAGTTGTTTTACTGGCAGCAGTTGGAAGTCCCCATCAGAATCCCTCTGGGATCTCTGGCAGAGACAGCTCAGGTAGGCTCAGTTTACAGAGTAAACCCTTTCCTCTGCCTTGCTGCTGTGCCCTGCCCTTTCCTCCCTCCCTCAGCTGCTGAGGTGCTTACCCCTTGCTATCCCTACGCCACAGTTTATATACTCCATCCACAAACAAAAGCAATTTACCAAATAAAACACACCTAAAAACACCACCTGGAAAAAAGACCACTGTGGGAAAGTTAAGTGTCAGTACCTACTGTCTTCTTCCCTGGATGTGCCACAGTGAGGACAGAAGACCGACTTCCCATTACGTGGTGTTCCAGAGCATAAACCAGCTCTTGGTCCCTGTGGACCTGACTAGAGATGACACAGCCCTGCTGTTCGTAACACGGACATGTCCTTCCCCTCTTCCCCATCCCCAAAATGTGCCTTATTCTGATCTAGGTGCACTGCCGTTAGCTTGGGGTAAGAGACAGGATTTTCAACTAACACTACATCCTGCAGAATCCTAATACAAGAATCTGATGGCAACAACATTCACCAACTGCTCGAGTCACACTGCAGCATATAATTGCAGATCAACCTTTCAGAAAGTTTCTACAGATACAATTTCTTTGAGTTCTAGAAAGCTTGTATTTGCCTTACTTCCTTATGTTTGACTCTATGCTCTTCATGCACTGGGATAAATTCAGAGTAGATCCACGAATTTGTAACATTGCAAGAACGGGACAGGAGAGAGACTCTGGTGGTAATTTTTCTGCTTGCATGTGGTGGTCAGAAAGGAATGCTGCAGAGGAGATGCTTAGGGGCTGCACGTCCTCACGCTGCATGCTCTGCCCATAAGCGCAGCTATTTATTCATTTCCTATGTGCTGCAGGAAGGGAGGGCTCTATCACTTACTGCATGGCTGACATTTCATCCAGCTACTTTTCATACATTTTTTAAACCAAGCCTAGAAATGTGTGAATCATGCAAGTTTGAACAAAATTCGTTATTACACTATTTTTACCAGACAGTCTATATCAACCATTTTCCAATACCCAAAGCAGCTACAGTTACGATACAACCTCTTAGTGGTTTTAATGTAAGATCTACTGTTCGGTACTTTGCGTGGAGATTATTGCTAGGGTTACCTTTTCTTTTAAATGAGGCAACTGTTGTTAGGAACTACAGTCTAGTTTATGAAGGAGTCTCTGCCTACCTGCCAGCACAGCTATGTGATAGATACATTGACTTCTTAAATACAGAAGAGACAGCGAGATCAATTCTGTTAGGGACCTTCAGAGAAAGAGTGGTGCTAAATATACTGAATAAGGCTGACCCCCAGTTCACTCCAGAGGATTCCTGGGGTATTTTGTTGAGTGATCTGATTCCCAACCTCTCTGATCAATCCTTCTCTATAAAATCAGAATAATACAGTAGACTGTGCTGCAAGGGTATACAAGCTGGTGTTTACAAAACACTTAGCTGTAAAACCCAGGACACTGACTTGCAACAAACTTCTACAAGTCATAGGTACATGATTTATTACTGATTCTGATCAAATACTTCAAAAGGAGTTAGAGGAGAGTGGTATAAAATGGTCCAAGGCTCTGCTGTACACTAACACAGCACTGTAGCTTTCTCACTTGGAGCATAAGGAGAAGGACAAAACAATCCTATCAGTGTAAATGAACTGAGACTGAGCAGCTGCTGAATGTTTTCAATAGACTTCCTGGTAATGGCTGGTACAATTTCATTAGGGCTTCTCATTTTATTTAATAAAACATTGGATGATTTTATTTGTAATACAGCAACAGGTGCAGGAAAACAAAAGGCACATTTCCTGATTCTGTCCACAAACAGTCCATTACTTACTGGCTGACACAGGACACGTTCTTTTTTTCATGCATATATTTCTTTATGTGAAAATAATAATCACTCATAAAAATAATTGTTTAATGATAAAAGACTTTTGAGAGAGGAATTAGTTTAGAGTTAGCAATAGCACTATGCAAACAGCTTCAGTGCAAGTTAAAGAGAAAGCTAACAGTACTTGGTAAACACTAATCACGCTTTAGCTATAGATCAAAGTATTCCCTACAGATGGTAACCACCATTAATCCTTATCATGTAAAACAGAAACCAAACACAAAAAAAGGCTATGCTTATAAACCCTGAAAGTACCATGTAGCCCGGATCCAGCAAAGGATGTAGGTGCTCACAAGACACTCTTGCAGTTTACAAGGCAATAAATGAAACACAAAGAGTCCTACAGAACAGGGACTGAGTGACTCTCACCAGCCTTAACAGTAAATTCTTATTTTCTCTTTCTGGCATATGAGTCTTCAACCAATAATTAAGAAAAGCTATTTGTTGGGAAACAGAAGATGTAGTTTTGAATTCTTCAGATTGAGTGAGGGTGGGATTGAAATTACATTTCCCCGCCTTTTAGCTTCCTTTTAAATGAAAGTGCCACCACAGAATTTGTTTAAAATTGAAGTCTACTGGAAGGCAGTAATACCCTAAAAGGTTACAGAAGATTACTAGCTCTGGTTTGTTTTTGTGAGTAACGTAATGAGAATAGGATCACACCTTGCACTCTGTGTTGGCTTCAGTCTTA